TTTTACAAAATGTTTGACCTTTGCTTCTTTCACCCTATGTCACAGAACACATTCAGTTCCAGGGATATTTTGTCTTCTACATGTTATGAAGAAAAAAACTGTTATACTTTTATTAAAGGATCATTAGGGCAAACAGTTCGGGTCCAACTTTACTAAAGCTGCACTTTTTCTTTCCTTTTTTATGGAAGAAGAGTAATATATATTTACTAAATAGAGATAAATAATAGAAGCATTACTTTTGACATCCTAACTCCTAATATCTAAAAGGGGTCCACTACTCTCTGCCCCACCTCATCCTGTTTCTGACGGTAATCTTCATCTGCTGGGGTGGTTTTTATTTATGTTTTTGACGCTATGCATTCGTTTAGAAAATAAAGATAGAGAAAAGTCTAAGTAAAAACTCCTAAGCTTTAAGCCTGGTTCTCTTGGGGTTTTTAATCAATCCTGACCCAGAAGGATGAGTACTGAAAGCTACAATGAAAGCTGCTACTGCACTATTTCATAGCTGGGATTAGTTGAATTGGCTTCACTTGATTTGAAAGCTGTTGGCATGATTTGGCACTTTTTGTAATTGTAAAGCAGGTTGAAACTACATGTTTCGTGAGGCAGTGCTGCATGAATAGACTGAACTGATTCAAGGCGCTCTTAATAGAGATTGCTTTGAAAGATCTGAATGACTGTTTGAAAGGAAATCGCAGGGAAATGAGGCCTTAAAACTTTTGCACATACATCTGCACAGGTGCACAATCCACATCCAAAAGCCTGTTTCTCTGTCATTCTTTGTTGTTAGCAGATTCTATATTTTATAATTTATTATTCAGCCTGTTTTGTTGTAAAGAACCCTACAAACTGAACGTTAAAGACGACTAAATTTTGAAGATAAGCATGATCTTCCTCCTCGTCATGGGCGGTTCTAGACAGGGGCCAACAGGGGCCAGTGTCCCAGTAGATCATGTCCTGGCCCCTGTACTAAAGACATAATACTCAAAGAAATTCAAATGATATGCTCTGGAACACACATGTTTACTGATAGGTCTTTTGGATCTATTTAATTTTTGTTTCTTTTAAATTCTGTGTTACTAACTATTCAAAAATATAAGGTGATAGCTTCAGGGGTATTGAGATAGGATGCCAGTTTTCATCTGCTAAAGGTTTTTTCAACACAACAAAAAAAGCGCTAATTTTTAGAGCTGAATTTATCAGTTTTTCTTGAGTTAATTTTAACTTAAAGTTAAAAATAAGTAAAATTCCTTAATTATGAATGTATATTGACACATTTTTAATTAAACCTAATTGAATAGAAATTTCAATTCATGGAACAATCTTTATATATTTGAATCCTTTGCCCAGTTTTTATTTCATGCTTTTCTTTGCCCTCATGAAAACACGCTGGCCCCCTCCTCGCCCCCCTGGTACATTTGGTCTAGAACCACCACTGCTCCTCGTGGCCTCCAGCCTCTGACATCCAGGAGGAGCTTAGAAAAGAGCTGCTGCACATCTGCATCAAAAAGTGGGGTTTATAAATGTCAGTTAAGCCATAACCTGAGGTCTATCAAATCATCTCGTTATCGCTGACCTCTGGCAATAGAATCAGTGCAACTCCAGAGATAACAAATAAATTCTGACAGGTTCTCAGCTTACATTTTGAAGGTCAGGGTTCAGTTTGTCTCCTGGCTTCCACCACATCCGAGCTGTGGGTTATAATTGGTCCATGTGTGTAGAAAGCAGCAGCATTAGCAGTGGAAATAAAACCCCAACTCCTTTTAAAAGCTAAAACATCCTCTGATCTGCGCGGTTTGCAGAGGACAAAGGAACCAGGAGGGATCTGGTTTCTGCAATGTGACACTGAGGAATCTCAGACCTGTGATCCTGATTAAACATTACACCCTAAGAACACAGGCCATAGGTATGCTAAAGCAGGTTTATACACACATCTGCTGCATTTTATCCTATAAGGTAAAAGGAAATAAAGAATAAGCCTGACTGGTCTGAAGGAAACTGAGGTGAATTGTTGTAGGTCAGTTATGGCTTAAGAAATGGAGCAAATTACACTAATGAGAGCATATTTTATCAAAACCACCTACATTTACATATAAACGCTTGATATTGATGAGATAAAACAAATATCCCCATTATTCAATACATTCAAAAGTAGCTTTTTTCTGTCTTTAAAGCTATAAATGTTAGTTAGACAAAGGATATTTTGTCTGTGTGGCCATGATTATTCTTGGAAGATCCTGTTTTTTCCCTAAACCTCCCTAATGCTAGTTAGCACATTTAGCACAAAGCTATGAACCACAGCTATAACTCAGCTTTTCGCTGTTCTTCACCAACTTTTCAGACTTGTAAAACCATACAAGTTATAATCTATATGATATTTAAAACAAATTTGTTTAGGAGGATCTCTTGCTGGCTTTGAAACATGCTAGCTTGGCAGCCATATTGGATTTTACAGTTAAAGTCCCAACTTTAGGGACATTCCTGGTAATAAAAGTTATCAACCTGTCTAATTTTCTGATTTGTTAATGTTGTCTTTTAAACACCTTATTTAAACAGAGCTACCCAAGATATTTCTGTTTTTTCCCCCTTCCTCTTCTCCATGTTGAGCAGCTAGGTCTTGGTGCATCTAAAATGCTGCATATATTTATAAACTACATATTTATATAAATATATAATATATATTTATAACTAGCTATACTTTTCTATTATATGTCCAAACAGTTGTGTATTTCAAGTTGAAATGGTTCTCTGCTTTTTTCTTCTGCACACCTGACATCAACTGATAGTTGATTGCAGGGTTTTTCTAAATTACAGTCACTTGAATCAGCTGTGCAGAAGCAGGAAAACATCCGACCCACTCAGGGGACGATGCAGGCGGAAAACCACAGGTCTAAGACATAATGTACCATTATACATTTTTTAAATGTCATTGTATATTTCATTGTTTACAAGAGACTTTACATGTTAGGAAAAATAAAACAAAACTCAAAGTTCTATCTGAGCCATTCAACTCTTAAAACTATTAAAGCAATGAAGGTAAAGGTAAAGAATATGTCTTATGTTGCAAAAGGTGCATCATGAACAAAAATGTCATGTCTTTCATGTTTCCAGTGTTTATCCTGGTTCATCACAGCTGATGCATGATTTCTTGCTTCTACTCAGATGTTCTGCTGAATCAGATGTCTTCTGTCAGGAAAATAAATAAAACATTTAAAGTGTGTCTCATACTGAAAAAATAATGCAACCTTTTTTGGCATTTACTTAATCATAGTTACTTTAACACAATGATTTCATGTTCACAGTGTAGGACATAAGACAATTGTGTTAAACTAAATATGACTAGGTAAATACCAAAAGCGATTGCATTATTTTTTTCAGTGTGTAAAATGTCATTTGGAGTCTCATACCTCAGCTGAAACTATAACTGAAAATCCACAATAGATTCTCCAACTATTGCATGGAACAACAAAGGAGTTAATTAGAGAAGCAGCTTCTCTTAATGGCAACTCTGGAGGAGCTCCTGAGATCCTCAGCAGGGGCAGAGCTAGATGGGGCCAGGGGTGGCCATGGCCACCCTTAGCCAATCATTAGCCACCGCTATGGCCCCCCCTACCATTTTCTTCCCTCTGATAAAGATGTTGGCAGCTGTAATACTCTCAAGTGAAATGTTCAAAACATTAAAATTTTTCATATATTAACAGTTACTTGACAACTATCAAATCAAACAATCTTTATTGTCACCTACAATTTACATTGCAATCGAAATTTCAGTTTCAGTACAAACCGTTCATCACAATACATCACATACATTGGGGTGGGGGGGGGCTGAGAGGGGGAAAGGAACTACTGAGGCCATGCATGCAGCGGAACGCTGCTAGTAGCACATTCTTATGGCTTGCCAGGTTCCCACCGATTACGGTTTTATGGAAATGCAAGTAATCTAGGAATCTTTGGTTAAATCATAAATAAATATTTTAATAAAAACTTATTAAATAATCAATTTATGACTTAATTGATCTCACAGTGAGGAGATTTGCTTTATGTAGATATTAGTACTTGTAAATATCAATTTCATGCAAAATGATTATTGATAAAAGTAGGTAAGTAATGACAATGGAAAAGATGTTAGCCCCAGAACTTAACCCTGAAAGAATTTCATCCACTATTCCTTTTATCTAGGAAGAATGAATATTTAAATATATGCATCTATTTGTTAGCAAAGGCTTTCAGAAAGTATAGTTAGTCTTTATTTACAAAATATGGATGTTTTGCTTGTTAATTTTCCTGATGGAACAGTATAGATTGACCCTGAGGTTCTGGTGCCTATAGCTTTTGGCCATTGGTTGTTATTACCTGGCCACCCTTATAAAAAAAATTCTGGCTATGCCTCTGATCCTCAGATCAGGAGACTTTGTTCACAAGACCAATCCTGTTTGTGTTCTCTCCAAAGCTGGGCTTTTATTGAACAGAAAGGAGAGAGGAACTGCAAACAGAAGAAGACCTGCTATAGTCAAGAGATGTTATGTTTGATAGAAAGCTTTACATGATATGCAGCAGTGGAATCTGACCTTTCGTTACTCTAGACCAGAATGGCCTAGTCAAAGTCCACACTCTGCATACAGAATCTCTTTATAAAGTCTGATTAAGGTTGAGCTATTTTATGAAAAGGGGTAGGTGACTGTAGAGTTCAGAGGTGCTGAGGCAGAGTAAAAGTGTGAACCAACCACAGGTAACCTGTATGGAAGTGATTCATCATTAGTTTAGTAAATCTCAGATTCTGCAGCAGTAAATGGGATTAAACCGATGATCCAAATTCCTCTCCGCTGTCTCGCTCCCTCACGTTTAATCCCCACAGGAGCGGAGTCCCCATCATGTGAGATTATGATATCTGCGAGAGGGAGAGCGAAGGGGGAGGTAGTGGAGGACAGAGGTGGGACGTCCTCCTGGAGAGAGGAGGGAGAGGAGCGCAAGAAGTGGCTGCGAAACAGCGCGCAGCAAAACTCCCACCGCCTCTCTGTGCTCCGTCATGCGCCCCGGCTTTTAAAAGACTCCCGGCTGCTGCTGGGGGGGCAGCAGATCTGTTGATGAGGCTCTGAAAGTCAGAGTTGTGTGTGAGATCGAGCAGTGAGAGCAGAGAGCAAGCGGAGAGGGGAGGAGAAGGATACTTTTTCAGGTTACCGGATCGCGCTACATTCCAGCCCCAGAGCGCTGCGCTCAGGAGCGGAACCCGGCGCGCTGCGTCTCTCCCGCTCCCATCGGATCTCTGCTGTTTGGAAAGCAATGATGCGCAGAGGAGATCACATTTATTTATATTAGAAACATTAAAGAATAGAGGGTTTCTGCTCCTGAGTGGATCTGGATTTATCGACCATGAGTGCTGGATGGTGGATGTTTGCCGGCGCTCTGGTGGGGGTCATCGCTGTCCCCACAGGGGCACACGGTAGGTCTTTTTTCTTTTTAAAGCCTGACCAGTTGTCCGGTGTGCTATGTAGGTCAGGAGTTGTGGAGAGCAACAATGCGCCTCTACAGCAGAGGAGCCTGGAGTAGATCTGATTGTTGGCGATTTTTCTGCACACTGCGCTGAGATGAGACTGTGGTGGGGAAAGGAAAGTTGTGACCAGAATGATAACTTCACATTTCTCTCTGGAACAAGTGCTTTTGTGTTGCAAATTTTTTGTCAGAGGCTTCAACATCGCACCGTAATAACGCAAAAGTCCAAAATCAAAAATCCCTTTCAAAGAAGGTGATTACAAACACCAAATCAAGACCAAACTGAAGTCATTATTTTGAACCAAAAGTAAATCATTCAAATGTTGGCAGTTAATTAAGTTAGGTTAATATAAGGATTTATTATATTCTATTTCATTCTATTCTATTCATAATCCAGATAGAAATCTCCTACCAGGGTTTATATCTGGGTGTAGAGATCAGACCTGAACCTGCAAAGATTCATAAAGACTATAAAAAAAATCTGCCTTTTTCTCACTTTAAGAAAATCAAAATGATAAGAGACTAATGTCCCAGCATAGAAAAATAATGAATGCATTCATCTTTAGTAGAAGTGATCACTGCAGTGATATTTTCACAGGTCTGCCTAAAAAGCTGAACAGACAGCTGCAGCTGCTCCAGAATGCTGCTACCTGCATCCTCACCTAAACTAAGAATAATTAGAGCACATCAGTCGATACTTCTAAATTCCTTCCTCTGGTGCACAGACTCTCAGAAAATAAATGCTTCTGTTGGTCTATAAACCGCTGAATGGCTTAGCTCCAAAACACATTACTGAATTGTTGTCAGTGTATCCTACTGTATCTACCCTCAAGATCTTTAAGGTCTACTGGCTCTGATCTATTCTGCACACCCCGAACCAAACACAGAGAAGCAGCTTTTAGTTATTGTGCTCTGATAATCTGCAACACACTACCAGAAAACTGTAAAAGTGTTGAAATTAATTTAAATTGAGATTAAAATGTGTTTAGAGTGGCCTTTGCTTTGCTATGTTTTAGTCAAATAATTTCTTATGCAATCATCTCATTTTATGGATTTATTGTTTTCTCTTTCACTATTTGAGTTGCTTTTTCACACTGCAATTTTCTTTTTCTCTCCCTCATTCTCACCACTTTGAATTATTCTACTACTGAAATGTGCCATATAAATAAACTTTCCTTGCCCTATATTTCATTCTCAACAAAAATCAGTTGAATTTATTCCAATTCAAAACTAATCTGAAATACAGTGCAGCTGAATTCAGTTTATTATGCCAACGCATAAAAAATGAACCAAAATAAGCTCAGCCAACTAAATACGTTGGTGTTAATGGATGGCGGTTTGCATTAACTGACTTAATTTGTAAAAATCCCCACATTTGAACAAGCATCAGGCGACAGTGGACATGGATTATGTTGATTAGTAACTTTTCAGCAATCCCTTCTCCTTAAAAACCTCATGGAGAAATTGGATGATAGACTGGAGTAATTGTGTAGCTTTGCAGCAATCCCTCCACCTGGCATGTGACGACTGGATGATTTTATTGCATCTAGCCACAAACTTTTTAGCAAACTTCCTCCACATCAGTATAGTTAAAATTAGATCTGATAGAGTAATGATTTCATTTTTGTGGTGACATTGGAAGAAAAAAACTTCCTTCAGACTGTAAACACCTTCAGGCTCATTGGAGGCATCTGTCTACCATGACACTGAGACAGTAGATGCTAATAAAACACAGTGGAGCAGAAGTGCTCTCTGTTTAAAATAATATCTAGAGCATTAATGGCATTAATTAGCCCATATCACCGACACAAGCCTTGGGTGCATTTCTACAAAAAATCTACAAAAAAAAAAAAAAAAACACTGATTATATGAAGACTTCACATCTCTTGATCTGCATTTCTGCAAAACTTCAAAGTCAGTTGAGGAATTCAAAGAGGGCCTTGACTGACTTAGGATCAGCCTCCACTGCGTGTTTGCTTTATTAACTGCTTCTGTTACCACATGAATCAGACTATATAGAAATGTGATAGGAAATGCAGCTTCTTGTCTGAGTTTTGCATTTTTGACCCTCCAGATCCAAATAATGTAGAAACATTCACTGTTGCCTTCATACGGCTGCAACACATAAAGAAACAAAAGCTTTCTGTTCAAATACAGGATCCTCTCGCCTCATCTCAGAGCATTTTATAGAGTACACAGCAGATCTGTGCTACTGCTTCCTTTCTCTTTCCTTCCTTAAACCTTTTAAATACTGCTCACCTGCAATAAAGAAACGATTTAGGCTGAAAACTTTCTCTGCTCATAGACTCTGACTCCCAAAGTCATTAACCGCCTCTCCTCATCTCGGCACACATCCAATGTGCTTGGCAGCTGCTGCTTCAATAACATTCAAACTTTCATGCTCCTCTGGCTTCCGTTCCTCTGAAAAGAAAGCACGCCGGCTATAAATGTTGGAGTGTTATTGACGATGTGTGCTGCAGGTGGATTTTACAGGGTGATGAACGAAAGTTTGTAGTCAAAGATGAAAATTGTGCCTTTTCAGCTCAGGTTCTATTGTATTCTGCAGGCTCATTTTCCAAAGGTCATAGCTCACCTTTGTGATTATTTCAGTAAGTAATCCTGCAGGGGTCCTATTTAAATAATCCTCAAAGTGTCTTTGAAGTTTGGCTGCACTTGCTTCTGACGGAGCACTGATTTTAAAGATCCAAGAAGTTGGAAACTTTTATTTTAAAACTGTGGAAACATCTAAAGGAAAGATTGCCAGAAGTGTTGGCAGGAAGAAAAAGGCAGTGTTGGTGTAACATTTATGTTCCTATGTTATACTGAATAAAGTCACAGTATTTTATTGAACTCATTTCAAAAGCTTTTACAGGCAGATCCATCATTTTATAAAAGAAGAATGTGTCCAAAGGATATTTGATCTAGACGGCTTTTCACTTGGGTCCAGATTGGGGAATCTGAGGCGTAGTGCTCCAACTGCTTGTGCTGAGAAATGCACAGAACTTCATCAGAATCTTTCTGATTTGTTAGAAGAATAACTCACATATTTTCTTGAAGAAAGGAGGCTTCATTTCTGCTATTATTTTGTCTGAGTGTTTAGAAACTCTGCAGCTGTGGCAACATAAACCCATATCACCCTCATAGAGCTTTCCAGGCCTCTCACCTTTAAGTTTTTGTTGATCCAGAAAACTGACTCTAAATTTCATCCAAGGTTTTTTTTCTCCATTTGTTTTGATGCAAACTAATGGAGGCTCTTCTTAGGGCTGAAACGTTTAATGGGATTTAATCATGGTTAATCAATTATTGAAATAATCGTCAATTAATTTATTCATTAAATTGATTTTTCATCTGTCAATATGCCCTATCCTGAACCCCTTAAGTGGAAACCCCCTTAGTTTCCCCTGGATTCATTTCATTAAAAAAATCTTTAAGGATCCTTTTGGTGTCCAATTATTAATTGATTAATTGAAAATATGTTTACCCCTTATTCTACTTTTTCCAGAGATGTTTCACATTTTGGCTCAGACCCCAAGCTGTACCGACGTGTAGCACCATATATCTGTCTGGTTTGTATTATCTCAATATTTGGCTCTTAAATTGAGCATCAGCATCCACCATGCAATTGTAGTTAAGGATTATTCTTTAAATTGATTTTAGAGACTGTAAAAACACGTCTTTAGTTGACAGAGCAACCCACTTACAGCAGTAATTATTTAAAAATTGTAAAAAAAAATACATAAACATCATGCATTTAAGATAAAGAAACAAAAAAAATCTTCTTTAAGGAACCTTTTGGTGTCAAATTATTAATCAAAAAAATAATTGAGAGGTTAATCCATCAGCAAAATAAATGTTAGTTGCAGCTCATCCCTTTCCCCCCTTATTAGTAACCATTAGCAACACAAGGGGACAGTAGAAACGTAAACATGGACATAATGTGTCATTATAAACGTGCCAATTGGAAGGTTGTGATCGGATTTGGCTGAGTAACGCATATAATGTATTTGGACTGAGAGGGGTGGTTTATACTGATCTTCAATGAAAACTGCATCCATTTAAAGACGGGTTCTGATCGTGTCCCTTAGATTTTACCAAACTGATCTGACTGCACAGTGTGTGAAGTTTTTAATGGGCAGCAGCGCCAGGCAGCACAAAACCTTTGGGGATGTCATCTTCCTGTTTCATCCTTTAAACAGCATCAGCATCCACATGTGAATCTGAGTCTGTAGCTTAGCTAAACTTTAGCCTCACCTTGAAAAGGGCCCAGTCTGGGTTCTCAGATCACTTAGAAACAACACACTTCCTCGTTTGTTTTTTTTTTTTTTTTTTTTTTACAGTTCATCAAGAAGGACAACTTTTACTGTCAAGGTGTTTATGTTCTGAATCAGGCATGGAGGATGTAAACACTGGTCAGGATGAGTTTTCTGAGTCTGCATTCATATAAACAAGGATTTCATTTTCAATCTGAACATATTTGAATAAGATCAAGGAATTTTGCACATGTAAGCGTAGCTAATGACCATTATATTATACCAATAATTTAAACCAATTAGTCAGTTTAAGTAGATTAAGAGATTACAGCTGGACTCTTTTGTAGCCTCAGTTGTTTTGATGAGACATCTATTCTGAGCTAAAGTGGGATTCACTGACAACTTCTAGCTTAAAAATTAGAGAAGAGACCGTTTATAAGAAAGCTAAGAAAAATCTTAGTATGTTGACTAACGTTCATCACTTAAATCAGTTGTTTATTGAGACTGAGATCAACTTGTTCAGACCTTTCTATGCCAGATCCCAGGAAAACTTCTAAGAAAAGTGTACTTGTACTTGCTTGAAGCTCAAACTTTATCGACATGATATAAGAAGAATTTATATGAACATAATCCAGGGAAAAGATTTAACTTAAGACTGTCAATGATATGCTTTTCAATTTGTGTCAGAAATACCTTTCCCCAGTGCTTAGTTGGGCAGGAGATAAAAACAAGAGACCTCTATGAAACTACAAATGAGGTGTTAAATGTGTTTTTTTTGCCTTACAATGCCTACATATAATTGGTTAATTAATGCCTTGCAGGTAGTGGTTTTCATTATTGGCCGTCATGTAATGCAAACATCCTTTAAATGTTTGGCTAGAACAACTTAAATTGCCTGATTATGTGTTGTTGAGCTTGCTTTCTGCAATACGGACACAAAAAGAAGAAGTTAGGTGAAGAGAGCTGTTTCACATTTCAGCTCAGACTCAAAGCTTTAACAACGCGTAGCTCAAACTATATATCTGTCTGGTTTCTATTATCTCAACATTTGGTTCTTAAATTGAGCATCAGCACCCACCGTGCTATTGTAGTTAAGGGCTTCATGCTTTTTTCTTTCTTTTAAAGAGGGCTTAATAATCACTGTTCATGTTGCGCTAAATGTAAGCCAGCGTAAATCCTCTAACTACAGGGAAAGGAATAGCAGGTGTTCAATCAAAAAAGTTTCTACAAAAATCTAGACGGATACCATTGCATTCCCCTCAATGATATTATCACCTCATGCAAAGTCCAGCGAACACCTTTTCTGCGCTAATAAAGATTAAATAATCTTCAAGTTAGATTTTTAAAGGGGCCATAGAATGCAAAACCGAGGTTACATTGTCATAGATGAATAGTTCAGTGGGTGAAATGGACGTACAGAGAAGTTCAAACCCCACCGACACCTCCTTTCTCTGCAAATCTCACAATTCTAAACTTCCACCACAAAACAGGCGAATCCAAACGAAGCACCGAGCTGATGTCAATTCGGGGATGTTGCCTTATTTGGTTCTTGCCTGTACTTTTGTCACGCCCCGAAATTGACATACAAACCAGCCCACTGGTTCACTGCACCAAGAACATGAATAGAGGAAGATGTAGTACACCAGTTCAGCTGTTCAGCCTACAGTTGGGTTTACTTCTACAAGAATTACAAAGCAGGCAGTTTCTCTATTGAAAATGAGCCAGAACCACAGGTGCAAATGCAGTCACCAGGTCGGGGTCGGTAGCTCTGTCCCCTGCTGGCTCACTCCCCCCGTCGGCCGGAGTTCCCGGACTAGCCCCAGAGCTCACAGCTTAGCTCTGCTACACTGTAGTCGACCGAAATCCCGGACGATTTTGAAATGCCCCCTGGGCATTTTTTTAGGTATGAAAAGTAGGACATGTCCGGGAAAAAGAGGACATCTGGTCACCCACCAAATCAACAATTCTATGTTTCAGTGAGTGAGTGCTTGTTGCTATGATGCGTCATTGCTCAGCAGCTTTGCTTGTTGTAAACCAACCAATCAGAGCACAGCTCATCTAAATATTCATGAGCATACCATAAAAGGAAGAAAACTTGTCGTTTCATTCTGGGGCTTTAAACCAGGCTTGCATTAGGACTCATAGAACAGTAAATATGCCACTTTTAGCCCAACCAATGTTACACACCCGATTCAGTACTTAAGGACCAGCACCAAATACCCTATAGAATCATTCTATGACCCCTTTAAAAGTTAATTTAGAACTGACAGCATGACTTTTTTTTTACATTTATAAGGAATATAAATCAGGTTTTTATATCACCAGATGATCTTTAATTATGAAATAAATTAATTACTGTAATGCCGTTTCTAAAGTAAAACCCCCCTTCCTGACTTGGTGTACCCCACACCTTTAATCCCAGTATAAACAAACATGACACATTTAATGCACCAGGACTGATTTTTATTTTATTTTATTGTGCTTACGAGCATGTAAAATAAATCTCCCAATATGCACGCACACACTTTATAGAAAAGGTGAGGTTAGGGCTTCTTCAGTTGAACATTTTCAAAACGGTGCACTAATGGCTGTCTTCTCAGGTCTACATCACAGTAAAATGATAACGTAAAGTGACACTTTATCAAGGTTACAGTGACAACCAAAATTCCTTAATCTCTCCAGGATGACGGCTCTCCTTGTAGTCCTGATTTAGTTTCTTCTTAATCCTGAATAAGACTCCATTACAACACATCTTAAGGTGACATTCTCAGACTCATAACCTCACATGAAACCCATATGTGCTCAATATCGTGTCTGGAAAATATTTCACATTTTTCATGATTTCAGCATCTTTTTATCCATCTTCTGTTCTTCTTTGTGTTGCTAAGATGTATCGATCACTTTTATATCTTGACAGCTCTCAACAACCCACAACGGGATAATAAAAACCCAATCTAACAGACTAAAACGAATTGATTGCTTCCTTGTGTGTGTTTGATTTAAACATCTGCAGCAATTTTGGCTACATTCAGACCCGATCAAACTCTAACTACATCTCCTTCCTCTCTTTCTATCCTAGGAGCTTGTCTCTACGAGGGATCGCTCTATGCGGTAGGTGCTTCAGCCTTCTCTGTTGCTGTTTAACCCCTGGTTAAAGCTTCCACCTCATCTGCAAGCAAGTTTCGGTTCATCTGTAAACTCTAATGGTGGAAGTGCTCATGCATTATTTACGTGGGACTTTGCCTGGCTAGTGAGACTGACAGATGAAGCTGTTGAGTGTCTGTATGCAGAGATAGGTGATAAAAGGAGTACATATTATATCAGTGGGGATTAGTGTGCATCCTTTGTAAGAAATATAGCTGAGGAGCAGCGTCTCATCTATAATGCAAGCCGGATACTGACTTTGTGGATGATAATGGTGATGATGCGGCTTTGCGTCAGTCTCCCGCTGATCTGCTTGCAGAACGTTAAGCTCCTCTCAAAGAGAGAGAGAACTTGGAGGGTTTTTTTTGTTTGTTTTTTTTTTACCTCAGCTGGGTATTGGTGAAAAGAGCTGTGTTTTTTTTTTTATTTTATTTTATATGCTTTTAGGTATGCTGCTGGTTACTCAAATCTTGGCAGATGAAAGAAGTCATGTTTGGCTTGAAGCATCAGATATGGGAAGAGTCCTTGTTCCTGTGCAGGAGAAGCTGATGTTTGCACTCAGATGCCATTTATGCCTTTTTTTTTATTTTTTATTTCAGACCAGCTCAGTGAGTCAACTTTCACTGAATTCATTATGTTTTCCCCTTTGTGATGTATCATATTCATAAAATCTGAGGTTTTTTTTTATATTGAAGAGAGATAAATGGAGTGCAAACCATAATTAAAAACATTTGCTTCTTTCACTTTTCCTTTTAAAGCAGACTGTCATTCATCTAGAGTTAACAGGCCAATACTGCATGCATAGCAAAATAATAAAAGTGCCTCTAGAGCACATCATGTGATTTTACTTTTTAAACATATGCTCAGATGCTTGAACTCTCACTAAAACCTCTTTTTTGTTCAATTAAATAATGATTCCCTATCATCGCCCAGAGTGACCCAAATTATGCAGATAGCCTTCAGCTTGACACCTGAGGTGGTTGCGTAGATGGTCACCGCTTATATCAAGCTCAGTTTGTACTACGGTGTACATTTCAGGGCATCCTCAGTTCTCAGGAAAAAAAGTTGTCAGTTCTCAGGTATTAGGAAAACTGTCAGACAGCAATATGTTCTTTGAAACTCAGCAACATGCAAACATGCTGAAAAAGGCACCACCACTATCGTTACGTTCACAGGAATCCATATTTTTGCTCCTATGCGACCAATATCTGACTCCTTCATGCCGGTCTAAACTGTCTTTTCACCTTTTCCCCAAGTGTCAGCAGTCTGAACAGTCATAGTTATGCTCTGCTTTTCCGTCTGATGATTTGGCCAAACTAGTATCATCTGCCATTGCTGAACAGTTTAAAAACACCATCTGCTAGATCTATTTAAAAAGATATTTTTTTAATAAAAAAAAAATTAATTGAACATTTCTAGTAACAGTCGTATTATTACTGGTGTAAAAAGTTCACAGCTGTGGGATTCCTACTTTCCTCTTTCGTTCACTTTGTTCTAAACTGTTCAGATCTCATTGCTGTCATATTTAATTAGTAGTATGAACAACCAAGCAAAGAATAATAATAAAAAAAAAACTGAAGGATTTTATTTGATTAGAAAATGGTAATGTCATGATTTTTTCTAAGGCTCGGACCAACATGCAGTGAAACCAAACAGAGAGACACGGATGAAAAGTTTGACGGCTTTTATTGAAGATGATAAACTCGGTGCAGAGTTTCCCTGAACTCTACTCAGACGGAACTGGAAGGGGAGGGGAAGACAGACTGTTAGTTCAGGCTCAGTGGGGAATTTGATTTGTTGATCTTGAAGGAGAGGATCTTATTGTTGACTCACGTTTCCAGAGAAGTGAAGGATCCTTGACTCCAATCTGTGTGTTGGTTTCCAGTGTTTGTCTGACTTGTTGGAGGGCGGAACAGGGTTTACCCAGAACTCGGACGGTGTAGGTGAACGGAGATGCTGATTGCCACTCAGATTTCCTGCTGTACTTGAACGGGACGTGGTGAAGATGATTCCCTTGCTCAGAGAGTAATTTCAACGTCCTCAAAGGAGACTGGATCCAAACCTCCTGTTTGAATCCCTGGCTCAGTTTAAGACTCAGTTGATCCCTCCTGGGAGAGGAGGTCCGAAAAGGTCCAGTTTGCAGGATGACTTCCTGCAACTGGCAAACACTCTGCCGTCGAGGTAGCGGCAATCAGCAGCTTAAGAACACTCCGTTAATGAGGTAACCGTCAGCAGGTGTGTGAGGAGGCGAACCGGAACCAGGCGCCTCCTGTTGGTGGAAGGGAGACAAACACAAAAAAACAAACACGCAGACAGGAGCCCTGACAGGTAACCCATGTTGTACTGCCCATGTTCCAGAGCTCCCCCATTGAGGTGAACTTTTTTTTTTGTGTCTATGTACACAAAAATGGAAACCAGGATGTTTTCATATACAACAAGTTTTAAAACTTTGCCATTTTTTGTGTGAAAAAGGTTGCCATCTGATGAAAACAGTAGAAAGACTTCCAAACCTTTACAGTTTTCCTAAAATATGTAATGAGAACAGGGCCTGGTGGTGTTGGACCCGGAGATTCCCATCATGTGCAGCTAAAATATGTCGCTATGTACTTTTAGGGAGAAGCGCTAAATTGTTTTGCAGGAATAAACCAAATAATCTGTTGTATTCCTCAATAAAAAAATGGCCTGCAATTGTCCAGTATTTTGTAATTACTTTCAGCATGTTGGCATAAAAATGTTCTTTAAGACTTTAACAGCTTTATCTACTGCAGAAATCTAACATATTATTTTGCTAAAATACTGTTCAGGATGGAGAGGCTAAAATATATAGTCTGTCAGGCTTTTAAAGACTGCTGTCATGTAAATGATGTAGACGTATAATTTTCAGACTTGCCAACCTTTCCCATTGAGCAATGGTGCCGACTCAGAGTTTTGGCTTTTGTCCCAAAGCCTGAAAGCTTTAAAATACAGGGATCATAAAAATTAAGTCAGAATCATCCTATGTAACAGGACAGATGTATGCTCCAAGTCTTAAAGCCAGTTAAATGATTAATCTGAAGTGAATAATGATGAGTGTCTTGTGATCTGATGGTTTAGGATGTACTGAATAATATCTGGATCCTATATCAGATGTGGGAAAGCTGCCCAGGGTTGGGTCACACCACCTTAAAAAGGCAGTGGCGACCTGGTTTGAACATGTCAGACAAGATAAGCCTTCTGAGGTGATTCCGATCTGCAAGTGGTCGATACTCGTTTAGATTCAAGAACCATTAAACCAGCATCAGGGAGCTTGGACAGACTGGCAGAATGTGAAGTGTTTTTTTTTTTAGCAGCTTTGCTCATGTTTTAGTTCAACAATCTTTAAGCATTTCTCTGCCTGGAATTTACTCTAAGGATCTGAGGAATGATTAGCTAGGCTTCAACAGAAAGTATTGGCTGTAAAAATGCTGTGAAAAAAAATGGGAGAAAAGTGAGCAGTTAAGACATTCAACATCAGGCTGCACTTTAAAGCTTGAGGAGATTTCTGTCTCCTTTTCATAAGTCAAATCCAACTGAAAAGGAATGAAATCTCCTGCCTTCTGCTTTAGAAAACCACTACCTGTGTCAGGCAACAACTGGTAATCTCTCTTAAAACACCTTAAAGACAGTTCTCTGCACTGCAGTTGTGGTTCCCAGGCTGAATAATAAGGAACTCCAGCTTGTTCTCCTGCTCTGTTTTCAGGATAATTACAGTAAAGCTCAGGACATACCTGCAATCATGTTAACGCACAAGAACACATCCTGCTTCCCTTTCCCCTGGCTTTTCAGGAGGGGATAATTTCTGAGAATGTAAAGGTAGCAGTTGTTCGACCAGCGAGGATCGGCTATAAAGAGAAGGGAAAGGGGGAGTAGGTTGAAGAAAAAGAGCAGGGGGAGGTGGGGGGTTGTGGCTAAAAAGGAGAAGGAAGGAAAACAGGTGGGATGTTTGAGCACGTCTAAACACCGTCATTGGAAAAAAGGTCCTACTTGAAGTTCAAAGTGAAGAAGCCCCACACCTGCACTGATGGGAAGAAATTAACACAGAAAAGAAAATTTGTTGATCGTAGTTCATGTTTCTGCCTTCAGGCCTCCCTGCATTGTAACTTTTAATTGTTTTTCCAAAATCAGAATTCCTTATTTAATTAAATGTTGGGATTAAGCTTGATTGATGATGGCACACTTTATATTATTGTATAAACAAACTGCGATCGCTTTCCAGTTCTGCTGGTGGCGTTGCAAGGATAAAAGAAACCAAACTTTAATCAGTTTTCTCACTTGGGAGAAGATCATAAATCCAATTTTTTCTGCTGTAAGAATAATTTCCCCCCAGTTTGTCTTTAAGTTCCCTCATTTGTCAAAAGAATAAAAAGATTTATTTTTTTCCATATTTTGTTTTTCAGTTCTTTATCAAACTCAGTATACACCTTCAGGTTTGGTTAGTTTTTTTTGCTCCATGTGTTTTTGTTTTTTGCTGCTTGTCTTTTCCACTGTGACCTCTGTCAGTCACTCTTTCTTGCTATTGTTTGATTCCACCAGTCTCCGTCCAGTCAGCCTAACATGTCATTACTTGACTGTCTTAAGGTTTTCCTGTTTTTTTTGCTCAAGGCTAAATCTGACAGATTTACTCACATCTATTTGTTTTTGGCCTTTTAACCATTACAATTACAGTCACTAAGAGATCACTGAATTTCCTTTGCACATAGCTTAACTCATTTTCAAGAAAACCTTTTATTGTTCTGTCTATACAGCACCTAACACCTTAAATTAATTGTGACCGCACCTAATCAAAGTGTCCTACTTGATATTCATTTTTAGGGCCACTGCCGGTGCATACTCTTATTGGTCTTGTTAGGCAGCTACTATGGATGACCACTGTTGATGACTGTTTTTAGTGGCTAATTCTACCACCCACTGCTGGCAGCCTGTGTTGCCACCCATTGTTTGCAGCCATC